CGAAATAGCTGTTTGGAAAGATACGGAATAAAAATCAAAGTCGTGTATCATCTATAATGCCAAATTGAAAGTAAATAGTATGTTGTATATTTAAGTCTTTTAATGCACATTTTCTCTTCCAGCATCTGAACGTTCACTATTCACATTGTAGACAACTATAATCAACTATCTAACATTTGATTGCATATTAGTATGTCATAGCTACTTCAGCACGTCGATTTTTGAATCAAATATGTTGCATGTCGTAGAACTGAATAAAAAAAATCTAAGCATCCCTTCAACGGAACGAAAGATAACTTGAGTCATATAAGAAAGAATAATATTTGATATGCACTTTACTACTAAGAGGCAGATTGATAATTAATTTTTTGTTGATAAATACCGCAAACCAGTCTAGATAGAAAAGATAGAATGAATTTCACTTCTAAAGCATAGCCATGTGAATATTTGCTAATGACTTCACAACCATTGTTTGTGCTAAACCAAGAATTGTCTTTGTAATAATGGTGTGTGAGTGTATATCTTCTTCCACCCACACCCACATCCAAACATTAATTAATTGTAGCCGATGAATAAATTATTTTTGACATCTCAAAGATCAAGTGAAGGATAGCTCCATGAATTCTAATCGGAATATCACATTTTAATGCTACGAATGATAAAAGGCAATAGGTTTTGATGAGATCTTTTCGATTTCTTTCATGTTATGGCCATATTACTGTTAGTATTCACAGTGATCAAAATCATTTCCTATTTTTTATTTTTTTTACTAGTTTGGGTAATACCTATGCAGAAAAAAACTGATCAACAATATGCATATTCAATCTTAAAGCAATTAATTTTCTGATACTTATAAATTATAACTTGTTGTTTTCTCAAGTATATGAAATTCTCTTTTTCATTGATATCATAATCATTGAAATTCAGTCATGCGATAGCATTTTACTTATATAAATCTATCCTTGCCATTAGTGTATTATTTTTGAACATTTCGTTTCTTATTTTTTGTATAACAGATATATACATGATGGCGGAGTTGCTTTTTTCTATAATTAATAACATTGATTATATAACGATTACAATAATGACAGGCAAAGACAAAGCAAGTACTTATCTGATTTTTAGTTAATATTTCACCGCAAAATCGATTAACTATTTAAAATTAAACATTTGATGACTCCTGAGTGGAGCTCAAATTGCGTGTCTCCTCGATCAGTAGCAAGAATTAATAATTTGTCCTGTATATTTTCATTATTCGATTGTACACATCATTTTTTACCATTTTGTCCTTCAAGAAGAATAATAAATAATACCTAATTACAATTGAGGGAAAATATGTAATTATACTGAAGCTAGTCTCTTCTCATTCGAGTATATTATGTAGTTTATTTTATATATATTGGTCATCATTTGCCATATTAAGCAAATAAAATAAATTCTCTTGTAATTGTTCATTATGCATTATTTTTTTTGAAACTTTTAACATTTGATTAAAAATCTTAAACGTAGAAATAACGACATTTGCTGCTGGAACTCTTTTATCATCTGTAACACAGAAATTTATTTGCTGTACGAATTATTTTCGAAGAGTACAATATTTTTATTGGCTATTTCAACAATATCTAATGTCTAAATGTTCTTTTCGTTCAAAACAAATCAAATTCTTAATTACATCCGTCTCAGAAGCTAGACTCAATGATTTCACTGATAGAATTCAAGTTTCTTTAATCAAATATTCAGTAGTTTGATAACAGTTGTAAAATTATTTTATTTTTAATTGAAGGATTGAACGCGAACGCTCAACCCAGCAGGAAAAATGATCCACTCGAGGAGATCCTATGTGGACCTCTCGCTAGCTTCAGCGCGTCCAATGTGCAATGGTAGAGCCTCAACCAGAGACTTCCTTATTTATGATCAAGGAAGTTCTTGTGACAGGTAAGTATGCTTTCCAGTAACAGAAGCGGAAAGCTTTATTCTTTGGCAAATACCAAAACATACACAGTAGTTACATTTTTGCAACGATGAGTCACGAATATTTCTTGTTTTGACATGCTGATTGCGCAATAAATGAGACAGAGAAATGAAATTTCTCATAAACCAAAAGACTCAGATACTTGTCTCACAGAATTAAGCGTTCTTGATCGAATTCTTCTGAAACAAATTCCTTCTAACCTGAATATAATACGAAATTATTTTGATGAAGCGGCTTCTCAATGATGCTATTTTATTTTTCTCTTGAATTAAAAACTAGTTAGTACATTCATAAACTATAAATATTTCGTTTCATTCAATTTAATAGAATGCTTCCGAAGAAGAAGCAAACATTTCGACAATGAAATTATTGCCAAGGTTAGATCTTTGTTTGCAAGTAGCTTTTATATGTGGCTGATTTGTAAGAGACGATCAATAAATGAAGGAGTAGTGCAAAAAAGTTCTTACATCATACTGCATCATGATTCAGCAACGAGAGTGTGAATGTTGGGTGCACAGATCTCTAATCACACCAACATGTTCCCACCACCTCTGCCCACCCGTATCCCGCGCTCGAAATCCTGAAACGCTTTTGATTCATTGATTTTCTATGCAATCCATACTCACACCCACACCTTCAGTTTACCTGCGACAACCGTAATCATGGGTCGAAGATTTTGGTTTTGTATACTCAACTGCCATCCTTTGAAATAATCAAATAAGATCAACTTTAACTTCCTAGTTAGAATCAGTGATCTATCGTGCTTTTCTTAGAACTAGTGTTTGAAAAGCAATGAAATATTTTTCTCTTTTTCTAAACATTGCAATAGATTGATGAGATAATTTTTTAATGGAACAACTTCAATGATATATGCATGGCTAACTTTCAAACATAATTGAAATACATTTATTGTTTTATTTACACTGAAAAACTATGTATACAAGAATAGATTGATCTTGTTCTACTGACATCATCAATAAACACGAGTGTGTAGTTTATATTTTATGTACCATTTGTGTTGAAAATCAAAGCCAAATTGAGAATACTGGATGTATATAATCAGCATAAAAAGAAAGCGAACGAAACTTGAGATCAGTGTTCTCAATGAGCCAATCGTAAACATTCCAATTGAACCGATTTGGTGAAAACTGTTCACAATCGGCTATCGTGTGAAAATTCACCAGTTTTGGCCAAAAACATTTTTTTTTCATATGTATCACCATTGTAACTGAAGAGAGTTTTGAAACAACAAAAGAACGCTGATCTGTCAAGTGGAAATACTAGGGTGTGGGTGTCGGTAAATACAAAAATAACTACCACAGGCACACCCACACCCACACCCTGGTGCCAGAAGTAGCCCACTTTTTGAGAATATTCTTTCAGCTGGAGTTGATGTGGCTGGAACATATAATACTCTTAATGCTGCATAAAATGCACGTAGCAGATGTTTTACTTTTGCTATCGCCAGCAATATATTCTTTAAAGTTTTCAAAATATTTTTCCAAACCTTTACCGCCAATTTTTTTTTAATCAAAGATGATGCTTTACCATCATCACTAAAACTCGTTTCTAGATCAGTTGTTGAAAGTGTAAGATCAATTGTTGATTCATTAAAGGATGAGTTCATTTCAAAATCGATCACGAACAAGAAAGACAATCGAGAAAATATAGACGTTCGATGAAATGATACTTTTAAAAAATGTCTCCTAGTAAATAGAATCGTTAATCGATTTAAAAATTTGCTGTTTATATCTATATTTTTTTCTCTTCCACACATTTTTACACTAAGACTATTCGTCCATGTGCCTACTAGCTGTGCCATCAATACCATGCGCAGACATATCTGTTTGCACTATCGCCTTTCTTTCGTTCTCTTCTCTAACGAAATTCACGAAACTAACCGGAGTTCAAAATCGGAGTTGAAAAACACCAACTCCAACTCCATATGAAAAAAGATCAACTCCATACAACTCCACTCCGATTTGGAAAAATACCACTCCAACTCCAACTCCGCCGAAAAAAGCACCAACTCCGGAGTTAACTCCAACTCCGAGTTGGAGTTGCCCATCTCTGATCTCATTTTAGTCTTACTTCACTTTGATATAAAGCAGCCACTTGACTAATAGCTGCTCGTTCTTTTGACCATGATGCATGTTCATCAACATTATGAATTCGTGTTAAATTTTGCGTTAATTTTAGTACTGTATTAGGTGACCAAAGAGCCGATCTTCAAAAACAAAAAATAAAACTAAGGTCAAATAAAAATGACTTATTGTATTACCTTCGTTTTGACGCTCGTTTTGATGTTTCAACAGTTGCTAACATATCAAATGCTCCATATCCTAACTACATGATACACTTCGACCAAGTTCTTTTCCAGTGGCTTGTGAATTTGGCATTTTTCTCATAGAAACTTTTAAATTTTCATTATCATCTTGTAAAAATGCCATTTGCATCATAATACATGCATCGTTCCATGCAATTAATTCAGGTCAATGTTCATTTAATAATAATTTCTATTCATAAGCTGCTTGATCAAGATTTCCAGCAGCTTTACGTTCACAAGCTTGTATCCATGACCAATCAAGTTGATGAATATTTTTTAAGCATCCATAAATTCCATGGATAGCCATACTATTATGAAGTTTAATAAGTGATTGAACAAATGATACTTTTACAAATTCGAATTCCGATGTCTTTTGCAATAGAACAAAGCGAAAAATAGAATATTTAATTAAACATATTTTTACCTTAGTTTGACCTAATGAACAAGTATGCAATACAATAAATACTGATTACAATTTCGTGCAGCTGGTTCATATTGACCACTTCGTAATGCAGTTAGAATAATTGGAATACGAATACGATTAAGCCGTTCATCAAATGTAGATTGATTTGTGATAAAGAAAAATTTCAGTCTAAAAAACAAAACTAAAATTTACTTTTGGTAATTGTGGAAGTGAAAGAGCAACGCCTTTATTTGCATTGTGCATACACATTTCCAGTACTTGAATTAATTGCAATAAAAGACCACAACAATGTAAATCACACCACCAATCACCTTTATCTGTTGAAACATTTATTTCGCCGGATGATGATAAGATTATTGGATGATTTATCGTTGATGTTGATGTTGAAGAACAACTTGTTTGTTCTGACGAAGATGCTTCTACTTTTTTTGTATTGTTATCAATTGGCCAAGTAAAATATCGTAAGGTTTCTCAATAATAAAATTGTTGATTAAATTTATGTTTTTCGTTATTTCCGAAATTCAATAATTCATTCTGTCAAGTATAATTTTTCCATGTAAACCTGATATAAATATTACAATATACATTTTTCTGAATATTTCTCACTCAAATGAACTGTCTATGTCACCTTCAAGTGCTAAAAATGTTTCTTGTGGTTTGCCAAGCGGTATTTTCAATTTATTCATAGCACAAAATCGTGCACATTTCCATATAGCCCGAAACCGGATCTACGATTGATCGGAAAAAACAAAGATGAACGTTTTGAATCTATGTATAGATTTTCAATAAATCAAACGAACGCATCATTTCCAAAATGTAGTAACTTTTCATACCTTAATAAACGATGTTGATCTTCAGATAAATGTTCATCTTTAGAAGATTGATTATTACTTGTCCGTTGGCATGATTGAAATAAACGTTCAAGCCATGTAGTTGCACACATTCGTCTAATAAAAATAATGATTTCAAATATTATTCAAGATAAAAGTAAAACATACGGCATTTGATGATTAACAAGTATATAACCTAATATTAAATTGAAGCAATGCGTTGTAAATGCCCCTAAGTATGGAGAATTCATGTGATTTCGTTTAACGATACTAGCAAAACCAGAATAATAATTTTTTGATGATAATAATTAGAGGTGTAACCAGGATTTATCAGGTGATTGGACTGAGCCCTAACGTTTTCCCAAAAAGCTATGTTTGGGGATGCATAACTTTCTTTTCATAGAATAAGAATACAATGATGTGATCCATTTGAAAAACGGATCTTTCAATGATGTTTCGTTTACTTATTAAAAAGAAATAAAGAATCACAGATTATGATTCGCAAGGTTTTACTGTAAAAGAATTTACTATTTTTGGGGAACTCAGCAAAATTCCCCCATTAGTTTTTCGAAATTAATGTTAAAATCGTGTTCAACCCTAACACGAGTAAATCACTCTACCAAGTATTCGACATTGTATTATGTGCGGTCGTTTTTAAGCGAAAAATGACCATTCTTCGCTCTTTTTGTGCGTTTAAACACGTTTTCAGCCAGAAAAGCTTGTAAATGCATGTACAGTAAGTGCACTAGAAAAGGACAAGAAGTGGTCGTTTCCTCATAGTCATTACCTGTGAGGAGATCATAAATAGGGTTCTGAAATACGAAAAAACCTCACCACTTTTTGTCCTTTTGTAATGCACTTTCATGTGTTTTGGCTGAAAACGCGTTTAAACGCACAAGGAGGAGCGAAAAATGGCCGTTTTCAGGTTACAGTTAGGATTCCCGATTGTCATGCAAACACACCCGCTTTTCCTGAATGTTTGCCCGTTTTTTATGTACATTTAAAAGTGCTTTTCTAAATTATTGTCTTCTTCGAAAATGGTTCAGCATAGAGATTATTACCGTTTACCTTTGAACCTTTCAACATCTGCTTCAGAACTTAAATTTCATTGCACAATGAGGAGAAATTAGTTTTCATTTGTAATGCAAAAAGTTTTAGTATCAACTAAAAAAGAGATCGGAAGGAATGAAATCGTGCATTTTTTTTATTGTGTATAGCAGAGGTGTGCGATCCACGAGTTGGACCCCGCGGGGCCCGTAAGACCCGCGGGATCGGCGGGGGAGGGCCGCGAATTTTTACAAAATTGCGGGGCTGACGGGTTACGGGTAGCGATTCATTGACGGGCGAGCGGGGTGGGTGAAATAAGAATAAAAGCCACGGGTTTCGGGTGGGGCGAGTATAAATTTACACGGGTTCGGGCGGGTCAAGATTTTTCACGGGGCACGATGAAGGGTAGTAAAAAATTATTGAGAGGTCGTTAGTCTAGGTGTGTAGTACGAAATACATATTGATTGGCTCTTTATTTTCATCTAATGATCTACAAG